CAAAACAAAACAAAACAAAACAAAAAAAAAAGTTAAGCTGTTAAAAAGGAGGCAAAGCCTAAAACTACTAGAAAGACATGCTTAAATATTTTTAATGTGTTATTGTGACAACTATGGTGATCTAAAGAGAATAATTTGATGAAGTCTCACACCTGTCATGTGACTTCAACACTATCCACCCATAGCCAATCTTCTTTCATCCCCTCTTCCAGCCCTCACAGTCTATCCCAAACAACATATCCTTGCTTCCGAAGTCCTTCAGTGGGCTCTCTGATAGACAGAAAAATTTTAGAAGCCATGACCTCAATCCCCAAATTCCAATAATATCCTCCTGTCAGCTACCTGGTAAGTGAGAGCAGAGTTCTCACGTCACATCATTTTATACTTCATGGGAGTCAGGGTCAAAACACAGCTCACATAGTTCAGTGGGCCGATGGCTTTTTAGGAAAAACAAAAAACAAAATAAAACAAAAAAGGTTATTTGATCTATAGTACAGCTCAGGTTCAGGACTTTTTTTTTTTTTTTTTTGGATTATGTCTCTGTACTGGCTGGTTTTATGTGTCAACTTGACACAAACTAAAGTCATAAGAGAGGAAGGAGCCTCAGTTGAGGAAATGCCTCCATGAGATCCAGCTGTAAGGCATTCTCTTAATTAGTGATTGATGGGGTAGGTGACCAGTCACTGTGGGTAGTGCCATCCCTCACCTGGTAGTCCTGGATTCTATAAAGAAAGCAGATTGAGCAAGCCAGTGAGCAGCTCCTCTCCATGGCCTCTGCATTAGCTCCTGCCTCCAGGTTCCAGCCCTGCTTGAGTTCTGGTTCTGACTTTCTCCAATGATAGACTGTGATCTGGAAATGTAAGCCAAATAAACCGTTTCCTTCCTTGTAGTTGGTGTTTTCTTTGTGTCAACAACCAGCTCCCAAATAATGACACAGAGAGTTCTTATTAATTATGGATGCTTGGATTTGCTTAGGTTTGTTTCACTAGCTCCTTTAACTTACTTTAATCTGTTTATTCACCTACACTTTGCCTAGGGGCTTGTTACCTTTCTTTCATTCTGTATGTCCTACTTTCCTGCTTCCTCCATGTCTGTCTGTCTGGCCCCTGGTGTGTCCCTGGTATCTCCCTGGTATCTCTTTTTCTTTATTCCTCTGAGCCTAAATTCCTCCCTGCCTAGAAGTTCCATCTATACCTTCTCCCTCGATATTGCCTGTTCAGCTTTTTGTTAGACCAATCAGGTGTCTTAGGCAGGCAAGGTAAAACAGCAACACACTTTTACATAGTTAAACAAACGCAACACATCTTTGCACAGTTAAACAAATGTAACATATCTTTGCATAGTTAAACAGATATTTCACAACACTCCCCTACTTGCGTTTTGGTCATGGTGTTTCATCTCAGCAATAGAAATTCAAAAAGTCTCCAAACCACCTGTACTCTATTGGTGAAATTATTAAGGCCACGCCACATAGTTAAAAGGAAGATTTATTTAGTGGGTAACTTACAAGTGAAGGGATAGGTAGGTCGCGGGGTTTGGGGAAGGTGTATCGCAGTCCAGCGGTGTTCTCTGGAACTCTGCTCGGTCAACCTCAACCATCCAGGCTCTGGGAACCGAAAGAGCGCTGGCCCATCCAGCTGGGGTCTCTAGGCGCCTCCCTTGGCCCACCTTGTAGGCGTGACAGTTGCCGAAGCCTCAATGGGGGTTAGAACTTCCAGATCAAAGCTGGAATGGCTACCCACTACAATACTCTGAATTTCTGAAAGATTGTTATTAGAATTACAAGTAAAAGTCTTCTGATGGAGTCATTTTTGTCCCTCAGGACAGTGTCTAGAGGCATTTTTGGTGGTCACAGAAGGGAGAAGTGTTACTGACATGTAGAGAGGAAACTAAATTAGCTACTTTAGGTCACACAGTGCTCAAGATGACTCCCTAAGACCTGGGCCCTAAAAGTCCCACTAAGAACCATCCTTACTGAAGAGTCAGTGGACCTGAGAAACTTTTGAGGCATGGTCAACCTTAGCTTTCAATCACTCCCCTCCCCCCCTTTTTTCCGTTTGTCTACATATTTTGCCATTCTTCAGATTTTAGGTACTAATTGACTAATATCAATTGTAATCATTTTACAAAACATTTCACTTTTGTTTTTAACTCTGTGTGTGTGTGTGTGTGTGTGTGTGTGTGTGTGTGTGTGTGTGTGTGTCATTTGGGATAGGTATGTGCAAGCATTTGCAGGTCCTCTCAGAATTCAGAAGGCATGGGATACCTTGGGACTGGAGTCAAGGGTGTTTGTGAGTTAGTAACTGTGGGTACTGGGAACTGAACTCAGGTCTTTTGCAAGGGCAGTGTGTGTTCTTAACTGCCAAGCCATCTCTTCAGCCCCTAATTTTTAATTATATTTCAGCATAGAGGCTGAACTATATCATAGGTGGAAAAACTGTGGATGAATAAGGAAGGTCCCAAAATGCAAAATAGGATTAACCTTAGCGCCACAACCAAATTATGTTTTGACTAAACTAAAATAGTCAGAAAAGTTGATATTCTCAATGAGATTAAGATTAGGGTATATTTATTATACACATCAGGGTAAGTCTCATTTTATAAACTGCTCATTCCAGATTAGTTCAACTAGCCAAGTAAACTCCCCCTGGTAAAACCGTTAGGAAAATTGAGAAAATGTGGCACTTATAAAATTATCTGCAATTTTTTCAAAAAATTGGTGTGAAAGGCAGTAATGTGCCTCTCACATATACAGCTATAATTACGTTTGAAAATAACAGCCATCTGTCCTGTCTTTGAAAAAATAAAACCGGATTATTTAGGGGAAAATGGAAAGGTTATCTAATTTATAATGGTTCAAGTCATTAAAAGTTAGTCACTTAAAATACACTAAAGAAATTCATTTTTTCTAGGCTCAGCCTGGTTTATTATTTTTTTAAGAACATGTTTAAGTCCTAGTATTCTGGTCTTCAGAGCACAGCTTTCAGTTCCATGCTTGCTTTGTAAAACCATCTAGGTTTTTCATGTATTTTATCTAGTGGTGTGTGTGTGTGTGTGTGTTTGGTGTGTATATATGTATGTGTGTGTGGTATGTATATGCATGTATGTGTATGCATGTGTATGTGTGTGTGGTGTGTATGCTTGTGTATGTGTGCATATATGTGTGTGTGGTGTGTGTGTATGGTGTATGTGTGTGTGTATACATGTGTGTGTGGTGTATATGTGCATGTGTGTATATATACGTGTGTGTGGTATGTATATGCATGTATGTGTGTGCATGTGTATGTGTGTGTGGTGTGTATGCTTGTGTATGTGTGCATATATGTATGTGTGGTGTGTATTCATGTGTGTGTGGTGTATATGTGCATGTGTGGTATGCATATGTGTGTTTATGTGTGCATGTATGGTGTGCATATGTGTGTGTGTGTATATGCATGTGTGTGTGTTTTTGTGCACATGCTATGGTGTCCATCAGAGGACAGCCCATGACAGTCAGTTCTCTTATTTTTCCTTGTTGGTTCTGGGGGTCAAACTCAGGTCATCAGACTTGGTGGTAAACACCCACTCAGCTGTCTCTCTGGCCCTTAAAATTATCTTTGAAAAGAGAAAAAGTGGCCAATAGAATGGCATACACTTAGAGAATGTGTAGTGGGTAAAAGAATATGTTACTCTTAAAATATTTTAAACTCAAAGATGGAAAACAGGATAAGGTGAAGAACCATATGAAATATGAAGTAATTGTATTTTGATATTAACATCAAAGCCTTGGCTGTGAATTAACAACTCAATTATTAGCTCACTGCATACGTTAATGGCTTCACTCAGCCTACATTAATGTATTGGCCCACCTATATGAACGTAATAAAATCACCCTTTATTATGAAAATGAACTTGTATAACTATGAATTTATTTGGTGATAGTGTCCTAATTTGTAAGAGATTGCTTTTGAAATATTTTTAACTTTATAATAAAAACATAAATTTAAAAATATTGTGTGACATGTGATTGGCTGCAAAGGCCAGAAACTTAACTCCAAGAACATTAACTAATGATTAAATAAGACTCCAATGATCCAGCCATGGGATCCCTGTTAATGGTCTTCCTTCCTCTACTAACACTTTTCCCCTTGATGAAGAGCTTGGCTTTCACTGTGGAGATGGGAATATGACACACCCGCCCTACCCTGCTTCCCTTGCAGCTATCATATGGGCACACAAGCCAGTGCCAATCAATGAAACATAGGAGACATCTGCTTAAGACTCTTGTGTAGACTTTTCTCCTTGATTAAAGTAGAGAGAGAGGCCTTCAGGAGGATCTAGTTTTATTGGGTATAACTGCATGAGGATATGATGCTATAGAGACTGCATAAGAAGTGTGGGCCAAGAACTGATTTATTCTTCTGAATCGATGCTAGAAAAATCTATGACTGCTCCTTGCTCCATGAGGAAAAGAAATGTTTTTTCTTCCCGTGTGTGTGTGTGTGTGTGTGTGTGTGTAAATGCACTTGTGTGTATATGAATGTGTGTGTGCATGTGTGTATATGTGTGTGTATGTGAATGTGTGTGTTCACATGTGAATATGTGTGTATGTGTGTTTCAAGAATATTCCTTAATTGCCTTCTCTCTTACTCTTTTTGAGACAGGGTCTCCCAGTCAAACCCAGAGCACACCAATATGGCTAGTCTTGCAAGCTTGCTCTAAGGATTCCCTGATTCTGCTTTGCATTACAGGCACGCACGCATGCCCACAAAGCTCTTACACAGACTCTGACATTCACGCTCTTATCACTTCATGCCTTAACCACTGAGCCATCCTCCCGACCTCCATATTCACTTTCGATGAAATGTTTTATTGTGTGTAGTCAAAAGCACTCTCACATTGCAGACGAAAGGCGTGACTGGCTTCAAAAGATTGAGAAGCTCACTGAACGTTTCTCTGTACTTCTTGGTGTTGGCTTCATTGTTGGTCCCATGGAGGTTCAAACTAACATCCTCTTTCAGTTTCAGGTCAAGAGAAATATCCCACAGAAAAATCCCCAGAGCAGGCCCAGAGTTCGTCCCGTCACTTGACGAGTTCTACACTGTACAGACAGCATCCTCTGGCAAAAGGGGCACCACACATACTGAGTGGGTCTCCTGACCACTGCCAGGGCTAGCAATGGCTTCCGTCCCACCCAACGTACACAGAGTGCGGTGATTGGCCAGGGGAAAATGCAGGCGGCTGCAGTGCAGACGAAAAGAGTAAGGAAATGGGGCCCAGATGTTCAGTGCAGTAGTGAAAGCAAATGGGTGTTGACATAACTCACATACAGGATGTAAAGTGACAAAGAACGACGCGAGCAGAGAAACTTCAGTTCTACTGGCCGGCTTATAAAGAAATCCATCTGCAGAGATCCACGGCTGAGCCCCAGGCGGAGCTCCAGGAGCCCAGTCGTCGAGAGAGAGGAGGGACTGCACGAGCGAGAGATATTGAGACCATGATTGGAAAAAGCACAGGGACAAATAGCGGAACTAGTGGAAACACATGAACTGTGAACCAATGGCTGAGGAGCCCCCATGGAACCGGACCAGGCCCTCTGGATAAGTGAGACAGTTGATTAGCTTGAACTGTTTGGGAGGCCCCCAGGCAGTGGAGCCAGGACCTGTTCTTGGTGCATGGGCTGGCTGTTTGGAGCCTGGGACCTATGCGGGGACACTTTGCTCAGCCTTGGTGTAGGGAGGAGGAGACTGGACCTGCCTCGGCTGAGTCTACCAGGCTGGAGACCTTGCTTTGGAGGAGGTAGGAATGGGGGATGGATTGGGAGGAGGGCTGGGCGATGGGAGGAGGGAGCACGAGGGAATCCGTGGCTGATATGTGAAATTAAGTTAATTATAAAATAAAAATATTAAATAAATAAAAAAAGAAAAGAAAAAAGAAATCCATCGCTGAGCTCTGGATATACTCTATCATGTAGGTGCTGGGGGATCCGGAAATGAAGGCATGCAGCGTTGCCTCTTCCAATGTGATGAAGGAGACAAGGGAAGACAATGATGACAAAACGGATAAATGTCCTGCACACACACAGGGTTTTGCAAAGCAAAGGTAGAAGAGGACTGTCTCAGCTTAGTGTCCCATAGCTGTGACAAAGTACTCTGACAAGAACAACTTAGTGGAGAAGGTGGTCCCAGAAGCCCACAGCTCAAGTTCACCGTGGGGAACTCAAGGCATCAGGAGCTGGAGGGAGCTGGCCACATCGTGTATACAATTGGGATACAGAGAAGTGGATACATGCTTGCTAGTGCTCAGTTCTCTCTCTCTCTCTCTCTCTCTCTCTCTCTCTCTCTCTCTCTCTCTCCCCCTCCCCCTCCCCCTCCCCCTCCCCCTCCCCCTCCCCCTCTCCCCTCTCCCCTCCCCCTCCCCCTCCCCCTCCCCTTCCCTCTCCCTCTCCCCCTCTCCACTTTCATTCAGTTCAGGACTCCTGGTCCAGGGATTGATCTAACCTACAATCAAGAGGAATTGTCCTATATCATCAACTAATGTATCAAGATATCCAGTCCTGGGTCCTGTCAATTTGACAGCCATCACTAACCATCAGAGGGGCATCAGAGTCCACCTAAAGTGACAGAAAGTTGGTACAAAACCTTCCAAGGATAGGAAAGACGACAAGTGGGTAGTAGGTAGTTGTGATGGGAGTATATGTCAGGCAAAAGGAGAGGGAAAAGTGAACTCCATGTACTTGGCTAATTCTAGTGCCAGCTCTGCCAGTGGCTATTCATGAGTTCTTTAAACAAACTGCTGATGAGTTTGGGAAGTAGTGAAAAGATGGCCTTTTAATGAGTTCCTAAGTTTTTTTCATATTTCGAATCTAATTATTCTTATTTATGCTATATATACATATGTGTGTGTGTGCGTGTGCATGCATGTATGCACATGTAGGTGACCCCAGAGGCCAGAAGAGGGTGTCAGATTACTTGGCACTAGAGTTACAGATTGCACCACCGTGTGGGCACTGGGACCCAAACCTGGGTCCTCTGCAAGAGCAGTAAGTGCTCTTAACCCCTGAGCTGTCTCCCCAGCTCTGGAGTCTCACTACTACTACCTTACAAGCTCTTGGCACAGATCGGTCCAATTCATACAACAGAGAGCTAAACACCCAGTGTTTGATTTTGATCAATCGTGTAATTAAGTGACAACCGGCCGGGTTTTCTGATTATTACTGGAAGAGATCACCTGAGTGCAGCCACTGAGAGTAAGAGGTCACAGAAACGGTCATGTTGGGAGCCCATCCTGAAGTGAACAACGTCGTCTCTATGGTGATGTCCTACTATTTCCCAGTCAGCCATTCCCCAGGAAGCCCTGCTGTTCAAGTTCAGAGGTGAATTAGCAGTCATTTCTGCATTGCTTCGCTTCTCTGAGACATAGTTTGGTAACAGTCAAGTAATTAAAGCCAAAACTCAAATCATCTTGACTTTCTTTTCTTCATACAAGGCTTCTGGGGTTCATTCACTCGTCTCCCCAGATGCTAGGATGTGCGTAGGTAGGTGTTACAAGTGGAATCTGACTTCTCAAGCCCCCACTGCACTCACAGACTGTAAAGTATATACAGCAAAGCCATAAAGAGAAGGGGAGACAGTCAGGGGACCGAAGTTACCAAGGTAGATTAAAGATGCTCCAAGGTTTTTCCTGGGATGGTTCCCACAGCGAGAGGTTCAGAACACAAGTCAGATGGCAGTTCATCTGGACCTATTCAAAATGCATCACTTCTTCTTTGAATGCATTTCATTTAATAAATTTTGATTTATTCTTCATCTGAATTTTTTGTTTTGTTTTTCAAGACAGGGTGTCTCTGTGTGATTTTGGTGCCTGTCCTGGATCTCGCTCTGAAGACCAAGCTGGCCTCGAACTCACAGAGATCTGCCTGGCTTTGCCTCCCGAGTGCTGGGATTAAAAGTGTGCGCCACCGTCACCCGGCTTCATCCTAACCTTTTTGCCATGTTATCAAAGTACTTTTGCCAGGTAACCTCTTCATTTTTTTTTTTTTTTTCGAGATAGGGTTTCTCTGTGTAGCTTTGCACATATCCTGGAACTCACTTGGTAGCCCAGGCTGGCCTCAAACTCACAGAGAGAGTGCTGGGATTTTTTTTTTAAACTTACATTATTCTAAAAATCTGTCCTGATGTTTATACAATCGTGGAACGAATCTATCTTGATAGATAACATCTTGGCAAGTGTATTTATCCATGAGCTATCTCCCCAGCCCTGAGAGACAACACTTGAATTTCATCTTAGAAAACATCTTTCACTATAGACATTGTGCTGGGAAATTGTGTGTGTGTGTGTGTGTGTGTGTGTGTGTGTGTGTGTGTGTGTGTGTGTGTGTTTTGACAACTTAACACAAGCTAGGGTCATCTGGGAAGAGGAACCCTCAATTGACAAAATGCCTCTATTAGAACAAACTATAGGGAAATCTGTAGGTCATTTTCTTGATTAATGATTGGTGTGAGAGGACCCAGACCCCTGTGGGTCGTGCTAACCCTGGGCAGGTGGTCCTGGGTTGTATAAGAAAACAGACTGAGCTAACTGTAGGGAGCAAGCAGTAAGCAGCATTCTTCCATGGGCTCTGCTTCAGTTCCTGCCTCCAGGTTCCTGCCCTGCCCTTCCTTCACAATGGACTATAAACTGTAAGCTGAAATAAACCCTTTCCCTGTATGTTTTTGGTCAGTGTTTTACCACAACAATAGAAAACTAAGATGAACTTGAAGAGGATTCTGATCTCCCCATCTTGATTTTTCCCGTACTTTAAAACAGCATGGGAATTCTTGTGCCTGTGAAACTCGAAACTTGAACTTGAGAGAAAAGTTAATATTTGTTGGGTAAACACTGGAAGATTTCAGTGCTGAGGCTTAGCATTCTTAGTGCTGTGCATTTCTCATTAGACTCGAGAAATTATTCCAAGGAGAGAACCTCTTAGCATGCTTCAGTTATTCTTTCAGGAATTAGATTGGGAGAAAATAAAATGAACGTTAAAAAATATTTGAAACAGTATAAATGTAATCTTCTAAAGGTCTGCTTGTTTCAAAGTTTGATAGTGAATGTGTAAGACAACATTAATGCTTTAAATATTAACTTTGTCATACACTGATTTGAAAGTACTCATTGTGACGGATAATGAGAGGAATGGAATGTTCTATTTGTTTAAGTGACCAGAAAACTCATTCGGAGGAATAATGGGCTTTCTCCAGGCTTTGACATAGAAATCTACGAGAGGGCTCACACACAGCTTATTCAAAATGTGTTTGTGGCGTTTCCTTTTATTAGGAAATTTCAACCCTGTGTAGATGAAGCCAAGCCATTATTTTGGAAGACAAGGGTGTTTTTCATTCTACTGAACGAACTGGCTAGTCAGCAGCATTTGTCAGTACAGTAGGAAACCCGGAAGAGAGGAGAGGAAACACTGTAGCTTACTATGCTGCGCAAAGGATAGAGCTCCTTGGTTTACCATTGCCCGAAAGGGGCCTTCTCTCTGCTCTGGACTCCACAACAGTGGGGGATAAGAGTTGACCGCTGCCCTGAGGCAATGGCTCAGTGGATAAAGTGCTTGCCTTGTAAGCATTGGCCTCTGAGTTCAATCCTGGAAACACTTGTAATCCTAACATTGGGGAGACTGAGACAGGAGGATCCTGGGACTCACTGGCTAGGCAGCCTAGCCTACTCGGTGAGTTCGCAGCCAGTGAGAGATCTGGAGAGTTCTTAATGGAGCAACACTTGAGCTTGACCTCTGGTCTCCATACGCATGTGTACAGAGTGCATGTGTGCCTGTGCACATGTGAGGACACACACAGACACACACACACACACACACACACACACACAACATCTAATTTGATCGTCATGCTCTTGCTGTTGCTATCTGCTATTGATGGGCTTGGTCTGCCCTTGGAAGGTAAAGGTCTTTGGGAGTCACCACTTATCATACCAATCTCTGACGACTCAATGCCATTGCCATCTCTGAGGCTCTCGGGTGACTTTCTGAAGCTTCACCGTGGTCACTGGTGCCACATCTTACAGCGCCAGAGGCAGAGATCTCTCTTCAGTTTATGGAAACTGCTCATCTACTTTTCTAACAAAAAAGCAGCTACTCAAACACATACCACCTGTCTGGGAGATGTGGCCCACTATCTCTCTGCACTGAGAGTCAAGAAAGGAAGATTATGAAGGGAGAAGAAGCACCATGAACAAGCTCCACTAGCTGTGAGAGAAAAGGGCTGCTGCACATGTCAAATCCATCCATATTCCACAGTAGACAATACATGGATGTGGATCCGAAGGCACCAAAAATTATGCTGTTCAAAGTACCCTTCCCCACTGGACAGCGGTGGCACATGCCTTTAATCCTGGTGTGGTGATTACATAAATTGTTCCAGTATAATAAAAACTCGGGAGTCAGAAACTGAGATAAAAACCCGGTAAATCCAAGGAAAGCAGAGAGTCGAA